AAATGTTTATTTCTAAGTAGATAAAACATTTTTCATTTTATTTGCTGAAGTAATATATTAAAATATGGATTGCCACCATTGGAAACTTGAATACATTTAAAGAACTTGAATTCATGGTATAGTTCCGTGGTATTGGGGACAGAGGAAAGTATTTGGGGCCACAATTGTGTTGATGGAGTCGTATGCCCCCCTTTATTTTTTTATAGTACATATTCCACACCTCCACAGTGTATGCGTTTATTTACTTATCTTTTGTCTCCACCTCCTTAGCAAGCTCCATGAGAGAAAGGATTTTGCTTTGCTTACAGCTGTATTCTATGGCTCTCTAATGGGGAATACCATGAAATTCATATTTGAACAGTATTTAAAGAGGCTTTATATGGAAAGAATAATATAGGGAAAGTAATTAAATGACTCTTTACCTTATTTCTGGCCTTTTATACCTGAAATTCTATTTGGTATTTGTTTAATTTATATAAATGTTACATATTACACATAATATTTTACCTCTTTTTCACTTGATGGTATATTTTTGAGATTTCTTTTTTTTCTTTTTCTTTTTCTTTTTTTTTTTGAGACCTGTGGTCCAGGCTGCAGTGCAGTGGCATGATCTTGGCTCACTGCAACCTCTTCCTCTTGGGTTCAAGGGATTGTCCTGCCTCAGTTTCTCGGGTAGCTGGGATTACAGGCACGCATCACCATGCTCAGCTAATTTTTGTATTTTTAGTAGAGACAGGGTTTCCCGTCTCTTTCCCAAAGTGTTGGGATTACAGGTGTGAGCCACTGCACTGGGCTGAGATTTATTCTTTTGTTTAAAAAAATATGTAGCTTTAGCTCAATGGTTGCCACCAGGGGGTGATTTTGTCCTTCAGGGGATATTTGGGAACACCTCTAGCCATTTTTGATTGTCACGACGGGAGGTAGTCCTGATACCTGGTAGATAGAGGCCAGGTTTGCTGCTAACTATCCTGGAAAGCACAGAGTATCCTTACAATATAGAATTATCTGGCCGGATCATGCTGATGTTGAGAAACCCTGGGCTATTTCTTTCCTTTTATTTATTTTTTTGAAACAGAGTCTCATTCTGTAACCCAGGCTGGAGTGCAGTGTTGTGATCTCAGCTCACTGCAACCTCCGTCTCCTGGGCTGGTCTCAAACTCCTAAACTCAGTGATCTGCCTGCCTCAGGCTCCCAAAGGGCTGGGATTACAGGTGTGAGACACCGTACCTGGCTTCTTTCCTTTAATCTGTAGAAGGGTATCCCCTTGACAGCATATACCATATTTATTTTATCCATTGCCGTCCTGATGGACATTTAGGTTGTTCCAATTCTCTGCTGTGATGACAAGTGCGGAAAAGAGCATCCTCACCAGTGTCTGCTTGTGTGTGCCACAGGGTTTCTGGTAGCTGTGTTTTCTGTTCTAGGAATCATTTCCAAATGCCACTCCAGAATGGCTGTACTCTTTGCTTACACAGCATCACCTGGGAGTCCAATTCCATGTGTCTTTACCAGCACTTGGTATTATTTAACTTTCACATTGTTGCCAATTTGAAGTTTAAAATAGTAGCTCATTTGTAAAATTTTGCATTTCCTGATTGCTAGTAAGACCAGACCACAGGAATCATTCACACTCCAAACATTCTAGAAAACTGGTGAAAATGTTTTTTGTCAAGCATGCACCACTTCATTTGGTTTTTCCCTACGTCTTTGATGTATATTATAAAACCACACATTTTAGAGGACTAGGCTTGTCTGTTTCTGCCAGTAGAGGTCACTGTCCCTCAGTGGTTCTCCACCAGTATGACTTTTGACCTCTCTACTCTCCCAGGGATTATTTGGCAAGGCCTGGAGCCATTTTTGCTAGTCAGGACTGTGAGTGTGCTGCTGGCCCCTAGAGGTGAGAGGCCAGGGATGTTGCTAAGGCCCTGCAATGCACAGGACTGTGACCCCCTGCCCCCTCCCTGCCCCCTCCCCTCCCCCTACCCCCTCCCCTCCCCCTTTTCAGTCCCCCACCCCTTCCTCCCTCCTCCCCTCCCCCACTCCCCTCGCTCTCTCCCCTCCCCCAACCCCTTCCCCCTCCCCTCCCTTTCCCCCTCATCCTGCCCTCCCCACTCCCCTCCCCCTTTTCAGTCCCCCACCCCTTCCTCCTCCCCTCCCCCACTCCCCTCCCTCTCTCCCCTCCCCCAACCCCTTCCCCCTCCCCTCCCCTTTCCCCCTCATCCTGCCCCTCCCCCTCCCCTCCCCCATCACCCCTCCCCCATCACTCCTCCCCCTCCCCTCTCCCCACCAACAAGAAAGAACCATCTGGCCCAAGTAATAGTGCCAAGCTGGAGAAACCACGGTGTCATCTTTGAAAGAAAGACTATGACAATCTCTATGGTAATAAAGACACCTATTAACAATGACACACATTTTATTGCAGAAACTGGGGAAACTGGGGAGAAGCATGCCTTTTGTCCCCAGGGAGAAGGCAGGAGTGAATTGGCAGGGGAAAGGGAAGGGTCTTGGGGGAGAGGGGAGGTGGGCCTGGGGCTCTCAGGGTGGTCGGCTGGAGCAGTGGGAAGTGCCCTGGTGGGGCCGGTGGCTGGTGTGGGGGTGGAACTGGGGTCAGCAGGCTGAAGGTGCTGAGGGCTGAAGGCTCAGGAGGTGATGGCAGGGGCCTGGCTCTCGGAGCCGGGCGGCAAGCTGGGTGTGCTCAGAGGCGCATGCCCCCCAGGCGAAACTCCTTCCGGGCGCAGGCAAGCCTGAGGTGTCGGGGCAGTGCTGCCCGCAGGCCCAGCGCTCCTGTGGTGGCTCTGCGACCGGGCCTCTGGCGGCCACACTTAATGCAGCGTGGCAGGCGGCCACCAGGGAGAAGTGAGACGATGCTGCATCTCTTCGGAGACACTGCTGGCTCAAAGTGGGGGCATCTTCTCAACAGCCCAGATCTGGGCACAAAGGCACGGGCCGCTCCGTTTCTCATCACAGCCTTGAAGGCCGATGGCTTGGGCGCCGGGTTACCTCTGCGCTCCGGCGGGGCGATTTTCACGGTCGCCAGGCTGTGGATGGGCTGGGGTTGGCGGATACTGCAAAGCCACTGCCTCATGAAGGCCAGGTGAGCCGGGGAGAAATCGGGCCAGACGTTGCTCAGCAGCTGCGGCCTGTTGGGAAAGCGCCTCCGGGCCTCGGGGATCGTCTCTCTCCGGATGCGGGTGTAGTCCCAGCCAGGAGGAGCGGTGGGGAGTGGCCGGGTGCGGTCCCAGCGGTTCCCATGGAAGTAGATGACCTTGCCCTGCTGCTGGGCCTGGGAGCGGATCAAGGGTCTGGACAGCCGGGAACAGTACTTCCGGGTCCGGCGCGCTTTCTGGGCCCAGGGCCAGCCCAGGAAGCGGCTCAGGTAGTTGCCCATGAGAGCGGGGCAGTGGGTCGGGCCTTCCAGTAGACACTGGGCTGCCAGAAGTTTCAGAAATCTGCGGTCAGGCCCAGAGACCAAGTGTCAGGGCTCAGTGACCAGTAACCGTTGGCGTAGAAATGTCTGAAAGCGCACGAGGCGCCGCGTGCAGGGTAGGTCTGGCCACGCCCATACCAGAGCCTCACGGGGCACAGATGCAGTGGGGGTACGTGGCGCCCCATGCCCTCTGGAGGACTAAGGCGGCTCAAGCTTCGGTCCTCCCCACTGAAGGTCCCAGACACTTAGCTCTGGGCAGAGGGGCCTGGCAGCTGCCTCTACTTTTGAACCTGACCTTTAAAGGCAGAACGTAGAAGAATTTCTGCCAGGTCTGTCGGCTCACGCCTGTAATCCCAGCTCTTTGGGAGGCCGAGGCCGGCGGATCACGAGGTCAGGAGATGGAGACCATCCTGGCCCACATGGTGAAACCCCGTCTCTACTAAAAATACAAAAAATTAGCCGGGCGTGGTGGTGCGTGCCTGTAGTCCCAGCTACTCGGCAGCTTGAGGCAGGAGAATTGCTTGAAACTGGAAAACTGAAGTTAGAGTGAGTCGGGATCGCTGCATTCTAACCTGGTGATAGAGTGAGACTCCATCTCAAAAAAAAAAAAAGAGATTTCCTGAAAACTGCAGATACCTGTTTCTGCAGAGAAGGGTGGTCTCTTTGATCAGTGTGAAAATGATCACAATACACTTGGATGCTCTAAACAAATCTTTTACTCATATCTGATTCTTCTAAGATGGATGTTAATGTTACTTTTTGCCATTTTGCTCTTAAGTAAACCGGGAAAGCCATCAGGTTTTGTTTTAGCACTGGCAATGTTGATTTTATGTGGACTTTCCTTTAATTTCCTGAGTACATCCATACAGATTATCTCTCTCTGAACACTAATATCATTTCTCCCCTTTCACTTTTAATGGTAATACAGAGGAGAGTGAGTCACATTTCCAATTTGCAGTTGAAAAGTGTAACTGCAAAACAAAGAGCTCAAAGATTGCTGGTGAATTGATTATGGTGTTAAGTTTGGAGATTTGTTCAAGGCGATGTTCTTAAAAACAGTTCAGAGAAACTGTTTTTAAGAACTTTTTCCTCAAAAGTACACACAGAAGGTGCCTTTTGGCTTGGCCCCAGTGCTGCGGTAGAAGAGAGACAGTAGTTGCACACAGAGCAAGTATTGAATCATGAGCGGGCGCAGATTCTGTCTGGATCTGAGAAGTGGAAGGCTGAATGGGCAGGGCACTACAAAGAGTTTAATGAGAAAATACCAAAGGCTTCTGTGGTTCAGGGAGGGCCAAGCATTGGGGAAACAGGGGGGCTGTCACCAACCGGTGGTGGAGAATTACATCCCTAATGCTTTCCACTGACTATTATTATTTTTTGGCAGATTCCCTATTATTTCCTGTAAGGAATGATCCCCATGTGTATGATTTTTGAAACAATGGGAATTTTCTATATAATTTTCTTCTTACTGAGATCATTCTTCATAATGGTAGAAATGTCATAATGAGTGAATGGTTTAATACCGTTTGGTATGATATTCTTCTAATATATTTTTTCTTTCCACTGTTTGCAGAATTTCCCATGTCCTACTTTGCAATGTAACCCAGAGGGTATCATTCTGGTTCGTGGTTATAGACCCTTCAAAAAATCACACCCTTCCTGCTGTTGAGGTGCAGTCAGCCATACGGTAATCACCCTTAAATATGCCTTCTATTGGTCAGTCAACTTGCTGATTAATTCAACTGTTTTTAAAAATAGATATTGAAGAGTTTTCTCTGTTTCACACATGAGTTATTTATTAAAATGTCAAAGATTTCATTTTATTAGTTTCTATAAGAGATGAGTATAGATCAGTGGTTCTCATCCAGGGGCAATTTTACCTTCAAGGAGACATTTGGCAATGTCTGGAGACATTTTTATTGTCACAGCTGGAGGGGTGGTGGTATCACCAGCATTGAGTAAGCAGAAGGTAGGGACCCAATAGCCTCCCTTTTTCAGTCAATATATAGTCTTTACTTTAAAAACATAATTTTTTTAAAAAATTGAGATGGAGTCTCACTCTGTCACCCAGGCTGGAGTGCAGTGGCACGATCTCAGCTCACTGCAACCTCCGCCTCCTGGGTTTGAGCAATTCTTCTGCCCCAGCCCCCCGAGTAGCTGGGATTACAGGCATGCACCACCATGCCTGGCTAATTTTTTGTATTTTTAGTAGAGGCGGGGTTTCACCATGCTGGCCAAGGTGGTGTCGAACTTCTGACCTCACGATCCACCTGCCTTGGCCTCCCAAAGTGCTGGGATTACAGGCATAAGCCATGCACCTGACCAAAAAAGATAATTTTTTTAAAAATGGTAAAATCATGACTCTCATACAAACTAAACATGATTACTATAAAAATTTTATTATCTCATTAGTTAATGAGAACACTAGTAACATGTTAAAATCATTTTCAAGGAGACTTCAAGAAACCACCCATATATAGAAAATGAAGAATGGCAAAATGCATTTACAGAAAGATGCATCGGTCTATTTTTCAGGCAGTAACCAATTATGTTCCACTAGACACGGTTCATTTGATTTTGTATGGACAGGAATCATTTATGTTATGTCAGTTTTCAAGAACTTATGGACTTGCAAAATAGCTCAAAGACCATAAGAGATGGAAATTGCCTAGAAAGGTGCATTCAGTAGGACAATCAGGAAAAAGTCCAGTATTCTGTTTTGCCCATTTCAAGTATTTTACATTTTTTCCCAACAGTTGCACTCCTCCCCTCCTTCTGATCATGAGAAACTCAAAAGTGAAATGAATTCTTGACTTCCAAGAATTAGGAGGATGCAACTTGTACTTCTTTTAATTACTGTGCATTTAGTGTGTGTCAAAACTTCAAATACCACATGTGATTGATGTTGGGCAAAGGTATACTGGAAAAATGAACTCAGGAAATAAACTAGAACAAAACAAAGCAGCTCTCCCCCAAAAGATTTACAAGTTACTGCACACGTATGTTCATAGCAGCTCTGTTTACAATAGCAAAGACCTGGAACCAACCCAAGTGCCCATCACTGATAGACTGGACAAAGAAAATGTGGCACATATACACCATGGAATACTATGCAGCCATAAAAAATGACGAGTTCCTGTCCTTTGTAGGGGCTTGGATGAATCTGGAAACCATCATTCTCAGCAAACTGACACAAGAACAGAAAACCAAATACCACATGTTCTCACTCATAGGCGAGTGTTGAATAATGAGAACACGTGGACTCAGGGAGAGGGGCATCACACACTGAGGGCAGTTGGTGGGGGCTAGGGGAGGGACAATGGGGGTAGGAAGGGTATGGAGGGATAACATGGGGAGAAATGCTGGATATAGTATGCACCTATGCAGCAACCCTGCATGACCTGCACATGTACCCCAGAACCTAAAGTAAAAAAAAAAAAACAAAAAACAAGTTACTGAAATATATATTATTCTTTTTACCAAGGAGGAATACCTAGTGGAAGAACTCATAAGCTCTCTGTAAAATGTTAACACTTAGGATAATGAGTATATAACCAATGCCAAAGGTTTTTGTGAACATCATCTATTTGTTTTGCTGAAGCAAAGGCACTGAAGATCTATGCCAGTGAGAAATGGTTGAATGTGCCCTAACAAGAAAGTTTGAACTAAATTGCTTCTTCGCTGCTGCTAAGAATACTGTTAAGACTTTCACTACTTAGGAAGTAAGAATTATAAATATAATTTACATTAAAAAAAGTTTATTTATGTCTTACGATCTATGAGGGCTACAAGGAAAATGAAGGCACTGGGTTAAACCAGACCTTTAGTTGATGGGAGGAGGAAGAGTGAGTGCTTGGGGTGAAGGTCCAGGAAATGTTAATATAAAGGAAACAATGCCACAAAAGAAGGATAGAGTGAAAAAAAGGAGAGTGAACTCACTGCAGCCTTGAACTCCTGAGGTTCAAGTGATCCTCCTTTCTCAGCCTCCTGAGTAGATGGGACTACAGGGATGTGCCACTACGCCTGGCTAATTTTTAATTTTTTTTTTTGTAGAGATGGGATCTTGCTATGTTGCCCAGGTTGGCCTTGAACTGGCTTCAGGCGATCCTCCCACCTCAAACTCTCAGAGTGCTGGGGTTATAGGCGTGAACTACTGCACCCAACCAACGCCAATACTTTTTGAGTAATTATTATTATCTCTCCTTTATAAATTAAGAAACCGAGGCTCAGGGAGATTAACTGATTTGTTACTGCCACCATGCTAGAAAGAAAGAGTGAGGACTTGAACCTAGGCATGCTGCCACCATATCCAGTGATTTTTCCTGTTGACCAGAGTACACAAAGAACTAAAACAGACATCTTAGAATTGGTTGTCATTCCTTTACACAGAGTGCTTAGGGTGAAGGTCTGGGAAGTACATGAATATGTTCACAACAAAATGTCTATTTCAAATGTCCTAGCAGGAGAAGCTATTTAGGAAGTAGGGATAGCCAACAGAATGAGAATTACAGAATTCAAGTAAAATACTTGAAATGGGCAAAACAGAGTACTGGACTTTTTACCGATGCACAGTATACATGGTATGAGGTAAAGGAGTGACCAACTGATTCCAAGATGTCTGTTTTAGTTCTTTAGTGAGGGCCTGGCCTAATTCAACACCACTCTTGGCTGAAAGATAAACATGATGCTTGATGACAACTGGTGATTCCAATGGTGGAGCAGATTTAATATGTACCTGAGCTAGAAATTCCAGTCAGTCTGAGAGGTGATAGAATACATTCCAAGCCTAGAGTGAGAAAGTAACAAAGTGTTAATGAACCAGGAAGATAGAATGAAAATACAGAGCAATTTTTCATTTTCCTCTGAGTTACATCTTAGCAGTGGGTTTCATTATTTTGTGGAAAAGTTTGTGTTCTCAGATGATCAATATTAGGTTATGACAAAGGGAAATATTCCATTGTTTGATAAAAATGACATTTAAATTATCCCTTGCTGTAGATTATTTGGCTAGAGTTCGCTCTCACATCCATGAATAATCATGCCTCAGCACAGATTTTTATTTACTAAAGGAGGTCTTTTCTGATAGCCTGGTGCTGGCCTGCAGAGATTCTCAAGCTGTACTATCTGGCTGTAGACTTGGTCTATTCAGTACCATAGCCACCAGCCACATGTGGTTATAAAGCAGTTGAAGTGTGGCTAGTCCAAAGTCAAGTGTGCTCATAGTATAAAATATAAACCAAATTTCAAAGACATAGTACAAAATAAAATGTGGAGCCCCAGCCTGGACAGCATAGCGAGACCCTGTCTAAACACACACATATACACACACACACACAGAGCCAGGTATGTTGGTACACAACTGTAGGCTTAGCTACTTGGGAGGTTGACACAGGAGGATTGCTTGAGTCCAGGAGTTCGAGGCTGCAATGAAGCCTGCAATGATCATGGCTATCTCAAACAAACAAATAAACAAACATAAAATATGCAAAGCCAACTCAATACTGTTTACATGTTGAAATTATATATTTTTGGATATATTAGACAAAAAATATATTATTAAAATTAGTTTAATCTGTTTCTTTTAGTGCAGCTACTAAAAAATTTTAAGTCACACGAGGCTCACATTATATTTCTGTTTTCCAGGGCTGCTCTAGAAGTAGATAAAGTCAGCTTGCATAGTACAAATTCAATAAAGGTCATGAAATATCTCCAAGGATTCTCCAGTTTACAAATTCCAGTTAGAAATTCGCTTCTTTTATTTTAATTAAATAAGTCTTTGCTACCAACCTCTCCTTAACTGCCACCACCACTAAAAATGTAGATATTTCCTAGGAAAAGTAACATTTTTCTAAGCTTTTGAACTCCTAAACTATTATTGCCTTTAGTCCTATGGAACTATTTGCAGTCTGCTGAACAAGTCTTACTTTACCATGTCTCCATTCCTATGCTCACTACATACTTTGGTCTAAAAAATTCCCACTTGTCCCTCGAAACAGAGCTCAAAAATGGCCTCCATAGCAAAGCAGCTCTGACTTCTCTCTATGGTGTACTTGGCCTTTCCCTCTGCTCATACTGTGCCCATATTTGCCTGTTTCACGGAATATTTTGCACCACACTGTAGTTGTGGATCTACTAGTCTGTCACTCTTCTAGACTATAAGCTCTTTGGTATTTTAATTTCATGTTCTATCTCTAGCATCTAGCACAGTATTTGATATTTAGTAAGTTTTGGGCAAATGTTTGTTGAATTGATGAAAAAAAAATCAAGATTAAGTTGATGGATTTGAAACCACTCCTGATTATGTTTTCTTTTTTGCTTCTGGTTTTCTCTACTTCTCACATTCATCACCCATATTTTACATGTAATTTTACTTTTGGGGGGTGTGATATTTATGTAAGCGACCTTAAATAGAGCTTTGTCATTCCAATCTAGAAGGTACTCACACAGGACAGGTGAAACCCAAAGTGGGGCTTAGCCCATGAGGGTTCTGGACTTTTCCCCAGAAAGAATTCAAGGGAGAGTCAGAAGTAGAAGAAACCAACTTTATTGAAGAGGCAGTATTACAGCACCAGTGATGTTAGTGCTCTGTGACTGCTCCTGCAGAGCAGCACTACCCTGTAGGCAGAGAGTAGCAGCTCAGGGCAGTTTTGCAGTCATATTTATACCCACTTTTAATTACATGTAGACTAAGGAGCAGTTTATGCAGAAATTTCTAGGGAAGTGTAATAACTTTGGGGTCATCAGGTCATTCTCATGGAAAGGGGTGGTAACTCCCAGGCTTTGCCATGGCAATGGTAAACTGACATGGCACACTGGTGGGCATGTCTGATGGAAAGCTACTCCCCGCACCCAGCTCTGTTTTAGTTAGTCCTCAATTTGGTCCAGGGTCAGAGCCCCACCTCCAGAGATGAGTCCCTCCTCCTACCTTACTGCCTCTCAGGAAATAAAACATGGTGGACAGAGCTCAAAGCTCAGGACATCTGGATATTCACATTCATGGGGGCAGCAGTGGATACATGGGCATCCCTCTGGCAGCCAGCACTGTAACTTAAGAGAAACTGACATGATTACCCTCAGCAAACTTTCTAGTCATCTTGAAGTCTCCTGCCAGGAGGATGCTTTGTTTATAGAGATATTTATAATAATTGAGAAACAGGTTTGTACTTTGTCTTAATAGGGTTTTTCTGTCTTATTTTGTTTATTTTTAATTATCACTGCATTTTAGAAAGAACAGGAACCGGATCAACAATGCCTTCTCTCTGAATGACCAAACTCTGGAATTTTTAAAAATTCCTTCCACACTTGCACCACCCACAGACCCATCTGTGCCCATCTGGATTATTATATTTGGTGTGATATTTTGCATCGTCATAGTTGCAATTACACTACTGATTTTATCAGGGATCCGGCAACGTAGAAGGTAAGATATTTAAAGGGAGTGATTGAAAGAGCATTTTCTTATTTTCTCATGACTTGGGAAAATCAGGAGAGGATTTTCCTCTGGCTAAAGATAATGCCTTAAATTTGAAACTTTGAAAAAATTGGTGATTTTCAAAGTATCACTTATGCTCTTGTCTTTAGATATATTTTAGAGTCCAATGTCCGTTACTTAACTAGGCTTCTTTCACAACTATCTTTCCCTCTATTCTGTACCACATAAATGTTTCATATCCAGACTTGACTTTAATAACTGTGTTGTGATTTTGTAAGCTGGATATAAGGAGCTAAATAAACTTTTTGGGTAGGCAGAGTTAATCTTTGGTAGTCATCCACATCCAAATGCCAGCAGTTGCATAGTTCCATGCCTCCCTATCTTGGCTTACCTCTTCTTAGCCCAGTGCATGTAGGCTACCATCTTATCCCAGATGTCTTTGTGCCTTTTTATACTTCCCTCCCTTTGATGGACACTCATCCGTAGTGTGCCTATGATACTAAAAAGAGCTGTGTTTCTCATGGCCTTTAAATCAACTCTCAGCATCAGAATCACCTGGAACATTTGTTTAACATATAGGTTCCTTGGCCCTATTGCAGACCCACTAAATTAGAATCTCTGAAGGGATGCATTTTAATGAATACCCAGGTTATTCTAATTCATTGAGTTTGAGAGCTTTCAATTTAACAATCTATAGGCAGATTTTCACTTCTTGAGTTCGTTTACCTAGATTCTGGGGGCACTTGAAAACTTCTGTGGGGCACGTGCAAACTTAGATGTCTAAATTATTGATACTGCTTCAAGAGGGAATTTAATACCTGTAGGGAAGTTACTGAGGTAGTGGAGAAGAAGAGTAGACAGGATTTCTCAGCATGATTTTGTTTACCAGTACCTCTAATCCAGTGGGGAAGATAGAAAAATCCTCAGCTCTTCACTACAAACTTTAATGCTTCTAACCTTCCCTTGAGATACTATGGAAAAGGAATTCTGGTAAGTGGTGATTAGAGTGTCATGCATTTGAACACAACAAGGACATGGTTTTCAAAAGTGTTGGTTCCTACATGGGACATGTGGGATGTGTTTCACCAAGTAAGTATGTGTTTGACTAAATGCTCCTCTTGAAGCTTACTACTTTCCATATGTTTCACCTAGTAACTAACAGAAGGTAATAATTTTAATTCTTGGGCTTTGTAATTTTATTCACAAATGATAAGTAAAATGCTATGAAGTAAATTTTCTGTCTAGTCCTCAAATTAAATTCAGAGATTAGGATCAAGTTACACTTGCCTGACTTTTTTGATGATTTTGGCTTGTTTTGGTTTTTCTTTTGAAAATATTAAGAAATATTCTCATGTAATGCTTGAATACCTATGCTTAATATTTTTGTTTTGATTAATCTTGAGATGCTGTGATTCTGTGTTCTAACAACTGTAACATTAGTGAATTTACTCCATCTACTTGGTTTCTAATTTCCTCACTAGTACAGTGTAGCGTAGGAGTTAGAAGAATGGACTCTGGAGATAGATTGCTTAGTTTCAACGTATTTATCTCTTAGATTCTGCCCTTGTATATAATCCATTAACTGTACGGATTATCAGGAAGCACAATGAGTCAGGGAAACCAAATTTAGGAGAATATAATTTGTGGTGCTAGAGTCAAGCTGGTTAAGTTTATTTTTACTGTTTGTAAATAGATAACTTTTCTAGAGTGACAGTGAGGTGTACTGGAAATAATTAACTTGGCGGGATAAAAAGAGTTAATACATAGAGTGCTTAGAGTGGTATCTGGCACACAGTGAGTGCTCAATAAGTGTTAGCTGTTACTATTATTTTATGACCTTGCCATTTGCTGGTCTTTCAGCTAGCTCGTGCTGGGATCAGCTATCTCTTTCCTTCTGAGCAGATTCTGCAGTAATATAATAATTGGGTGTGTAGCATTATAATCTGTTGCCTGGGAGAGGTGAGGCTGTTGTCACAGCCTTGCCTTCACAAATTTATTTCATGGTCAAACTAGGAAAGCAGATGGACAAGTCTCTTGTGTAAACCAGGAGAGCATCAATAATTAGCAAATATAGTCAGGAAAATTAAGACAACCTTCTGAAGATAAATTGTTTGTTGTGTTTTAAGTTTGACACAATTTGTGGTGGGTTTCTCCTTGACAAAATGTTGCTTCAAATGCAAGGAAAGGGTGCAGTTTAAAGTGAGGAGAGCCCTGAAAATTACAATAAAAGCCCTTTCTAATCATGGAAAAGATAGGATTGCCCCCAAAACCTTTAGTTTTGAGGAAGATGGTCAAAGGAATGTTCAACAATCTAATCCATACAATAGATAATAATGAACATAGTTTGTGTGGTACAAAATCGTAAACTTAGAAGACCTGGAGGGACCATGGGATTATCTAAGTCACCATTCTGCTTCTATGGACAAGAATGCCAGAGTCATCTAACATATATATATTTAAACTTACTATTGAGGAAATTTCTCAGCAAAGCTTTAACAATTTGGTTATCTTTGCCAATAACACCATTATATTAATTATTCAGGGACACTGAGAGTGGCAATGGAGCCCAAACTAGGTAAACTCAAATACCAGCTACGCCCTTTACCTGTATAATCTTGGTTGAGTCACCTGATTTCCAGGGAATCTCAGTTTCTCCATCTGCAATAGGAAGATGATGTTTCACAGGATTTTCATGAGGACTGACTGACATAAATATGTATAAAATACCTAGGGTATAGGTATTTTATAAACACTAAATAAACAGTAATTATTATTATCCAACATCAGCTTAACCTATTGCTATGATTAAGAGGTGCTGGGAAAGGATCTCTTTCCCACCAAGATATTGTGGAAAATATCTTGGTATTTTCCACCAAACTGTAGAAACTTCTCCAATTCACCAGCTCATTGCTTGGGATTTTATTAAATGCTTGTTTTATTTTATTAAGGTTTTGTTGACAAATAAAAATTGTATGTATTTGTGGCATATAAGTTCATGTTTTGATATATGTATATATTATGAAATGGCTAAATCAATTAACTGAAATGGCTAAATCAAATAATGAACATATTCATCACTTCACATACTTATTTTAGGGGATGAGATCACATACTTAATTTATGGGGTGAGCATTTAAGATCTACTCTCTTAGCAATTTTCAAGTACGTAATACATAATTATTAGCTGTAGTCATCATGCCGTACAGTAGATTGCCCAAACTTATTCCTTTTGTCTAACAGAAACTTTGTGTCCTTTGACCAACATCTCCTCCTACCCATGCCAGCCCCTGGCAACCACCATTCTACTCTCTGCTTGTGTAGATTCAACTATCTTAGATTCTACACATAAATGAGACCATACGGCATTTGTCTTTCTGTGCTTGGCTTATTTCATTTAGCATACTGTTCTTCAGGCTCATCTGTATTGTCACAAATGTCAGGATTTCCTTTTTTTTTTTTTAAAGGCTGAATAATATATTATTGTACCACATTTTCTTTATCCATTAATTCTTTGATGGACATTTAGGTTGATTCCATACCTTGGCTGTTGTGAATAGTGCTGGGTTGAACATGAGAGTGCAGAAATCTCTTTGACATAATGGTTTCAATTATTTTGGGTCTATACCTAGAAGTGGAATTGCTGGATCATATGGTAGTTTATTTTTTATTTTTTGAAGAACTTCCATACTGTTTTCCATAATGGCTGTACTAATTTACATTCCCTGCAGTAGTGTCCCAGGGTTCCCTTTTCTCCATATCCTCACCAACACTTGCTATGTTTTGTCTTTCTGATAATAGGTATTCTAACAGGAGTGAGGTGATATCTCATTGTGGTTTTGAATTGCATTTCCCTGATGATTAGTGATGTTGATCATTTTTTTCATATACTCATTGGCCATTTGTATGTCTTCTTTTGAAAATTTTCTATTCACATCCTTTGCACATTTTTAAATTGGGTTATTTGTTTTCTTGTTATTGAGTTGTTTGAGTTTCTTATATATTTTTGGATGTTAACTCTTTTGCTGTGCAGAAGCATTTTACTTTGGTGTAAATTCCGTTTGTCTATTTTTGAATTTACTGTGCTTTTGGGATCATATCCAAAAACTCACTGCCCAGACCAACATCATGGAGCTTTTCTCATATGTTTTCTTCTAGTAGTTTTACAGTTTCAGGTCTTATGTTTAAGTTTTTAATCTATTTTGAGTTGATTTTTGTATTTGGTATGAGACAACAATCCAGATTCATTCTTTTGCATCTAGATATCCAGTTTTCCTAACACCTCTTATTGAACAGATTGTTCTTTCCTCATTGTGTATTCTTGCCACCTTTGATGAAGATCTGTTGACCATAAGTGCATGGATTTATTTCTGTCCTTGCTATTCTGTTCCATTGGTCCATGTGTCTATTTTGATGCTGAATAAACACTTGTTTTAAAATGCAAATAATCTTGTGAGGTCTACTGGTCACCACAATAGTGGTGAATTGGTTAACCAGCTCTCTCTCTAAAAAATACTGTGATTTGTAGTATTTGCCAATTTCTCATCAAGGCTGAAGGATTCTGAATATTTAGCAATCAGCCCTTGAAAAGCTGTAGCACCCAGATCTAGCACATCATTACAGCTGCCACCTCTTTGTGAAATACCTAGAAAAGGTTGCTTCTCTATTGCCCTCTAGTTAAGAATAGCAGTTTGTGGAAATTAGAGATTCGCTGAAGGAAAAAAGTTGGAAAAGTAATTTTTTTAAATTTGGGGCAACAATTAGGGAGCAGAACAAGTGGGAAGGCAACCAAGATGAACTGCATATGCTTCACAATAGTGTCTCTTCTAGATTTAGTCTCTAGCACAACCTAGAAGTAGATGTATTGGCTATATGGTCAATTTTATGATGGTAGTGATAATGATGATGGTGTTAGTGATGATGGTTATGATGGTGATGGTGATAGTGATGGTGATGAAGTTGATAATGTGATGTGTGTTTTCATGGAAAGA